AGCTGTGCATCCTGTATACATCAGCCAGCTGCAATTTGCTGCACAGAAGTAGTACCAATGCAATAAGTTTATGATGCCGTTCCTGCCCCCTGCATTTTGTCTCATTGATTTTACAGTATTCTAGACAGGTCCTATATAAGATTCAGAGAAATAAGAGCACTATAAAGTAACTTCCTCTGCTTGCACAAGGCAAATGCACATCTTCAGGAAGTCATTTATATGTCTTGCTAAATTACCTTACCTGGAAGGATGCGTCAAGATCTGCCATAACAATTCACTCCATATATTACATTTAAAAAGGCCCAGCCTACATGTAGTCAGTATGTAAAGGCATTTATTTCTAATAAATAAGACATGACGATGAATTAGATCGTCATATACAATGCATACATCTCCTGGGCTGTAGGTCGTGGAAAGTGGTGTAAACAAAACATTGCAGAGAGGACATGGAAATACAACATTTCCTTGAAATCAGAGTCACTGAACAGCATCAAGCACAGATGTGATGAGTCCTGGCTGTGACACCAAATGGCTTTGTAAAGTGCCATGCTGCCATGGTTTTTAGAAGAAGGCTCCAAGGAGCTCCATGGAGCATTCTCGTGCAAAATAAATTATGAGAATGGCTCTTGCCTAGAGTTGCTGTCTAGAAAGTGGTAACAGCCAGCCTGTGAAATTAGGGAGCCAGCAACAGTAATTATTTTCTTAGAAGAGAGAAGGGGTTCTGAAGGGTTTTATACTCCAGCAAGTATTCTTTCTGAACACTGAGGCAGATTTCAGTGTCTAATTGGTTAATTATATGTAATTTCAGTAAGTATGGATGTTCTATTTTCTGGAACTGACACTTTTTCTGTCAAGTGTTAATGGATGTTGGGGGAAAAATATCTTAAGCAAACTCCTGTGTAAAAAACCCAGTCAACAAGCAGACCTTTCCGAAACGGGGAGTGCTGCAGGATACCTCTAGTTACCAGGTCATTGACAACCAGTGACCAAGCGAGAGAGTTTGTGTTCATTTTCCCCAAAGCCGCCCACCGCTTTCTTCGCAACATCTGTGAACTGTAAGACTATTAGTCTTCACCATAAAAGGAAGGTAAATATAAAGCATAGTTAATCCATCAGTTAAGTGAAACCCTGAGCGTTGTATGCATCCAGCTGAAACCCACTTTTGGACAATTGAGGCAGAAAAACTGGACAATTAGTAGGACAGTAAAAAACGAAAGCTGCTGGGCTTTCGACTGGAAGCGGCAATGATGGGAGAGTCCCTGGTCCATGTGAGCCTGAGTTTGTGCTCGCTCCCAGCACCGTGACTATCCTTGCTTTTTTTTTCCCCCGATTACTCCTCTGGCAAAACTTTTCTGCAGAGGCATGTGCCAGCAATACCATCTGCTGGCTAAACCTAGCACTTGCCAGAGGAGGAGGCGAAGGCAGCGGGCGGACAGCCCCCCAGGCGGCTGCGTTTCTGCCCCTCGCCCTCCTGCCCCAGGTGGGGTCCTGTGCCGGGGGCAGCCAGCAGCCAGCCCCGGGCAACTGCTGTGGCAGGGGAAAAGCAGCAAATCCCTATCTCAGCCTCCCGAGCCAGAAATATATTGGGTTACTCCTGTCCCACATTTCTCTCAATGTTCTGGCTTTCTGTCCTGGTTCATAGGAGTTGGGGGTGTGGGGGCTTTAATCATCACGTTTAACATGGAAGAAGTGCCTCACCTGACCGCTTCTCTGCTCGGCTGCCCAGGCCCGAGGAAGGGCAGGCACAAACGCTGGACTGTGTGCAGGGATCAGGCACAATCCCTTTTCCAGGTCTCAGGAAAAGAAGAGCTCTCTGTCCTATGCCCTTTGCCAGAGCTTTGCATGTAGCAGTCCCCATTTAATCCAGGATAAGAGTACAAAACAAGTAAGATCATTTTTATGGAATGAGATAACTGAAAGGACAGAGCATGTGCAAAACCCCTTTAGAACTGATCTGAGGGTGTTTTCACTCCATTTCTTTTGGATTAAGCTGCCTGGTTACATGAGCTAGGAACAGAGAAGTATCTGAGAAACCCTACAGGGAATGCAAGGAAAGCAGCCAGGAAGCATTAGATAGCTCTGGAATTTTTTTTTCTTTGTTTGTTTTTGGGGGTGAGAGGATATTTACAAATAGAATCACAATATTTCGGTCTCCCAGCTTCTGCCCAAGGAGTGGCTAAAGAGGCTGGGAGACTATAGCCTTGATAAAAAAGAGGCTGTGAGGGAGGGATGAGAGAGAGGACTATCAAGGGAGTACTGAGGAGAGAGTAAGGAACAATAGTTCATTTTCTTAGATAAAATTAGCTGGAAACTCTTGAAGAACAAATGGACAGAATTAGACACACACAAATTTGTGGTGGAGCTACAGATCTCCTCTTTATAGGATGCCATGGATGCTGAGAATTTACATGGCCACGCAGACGTCCAAGCCCTGAGGGCACCACCAGCCCTTACTGCCCCATGTCAGTGCCCCAGGGCTCCCCCTGACCCTGCCCATGACCCAGGACCCCATTTCAGCCCCCCAGGGCTGCCGATCCCTACCCCAGGGATGCCCAAATCCAAACATCCAGTCTTACGCTCTTATGTATCAAGGCACTATCAGTGAGAAACTATAAGTGAATTCAAGTCAGACAGTCTTGCTGGATAAATTGGGTGAGAGAGGGGCTTAGATTCACCAAAACCAAGGAAGATCTCTCCTCAAAGCACGAGGGATGGCAAAGATAGAGGTTGAATCTATTTCATTCTAGGAGGAAATTTGAATTTGCTTCCAAAACCCCTAAAGAATATGTCCCAATAGCCCAACTAGTGGATAATGTTTTTCATACATTTTGTTCTGTTCCTGAAAACAAATTAGTAATTTGCTTGGTTTGGATTGAACTGTTTGGCGCTGGTTTTGTTTATTTTCTAGCCCCAGAAATAATAAAAGTAATTCTAGCTTGAAAGAGAGAAAAAGCTACTTCTTAACCTTTGCTCTATGAGGAAGAGGTTTTGGGTAGGGTGTCTGGCTGGTTGAAAAAATAATGGGAGCTGGGAGTCATCCCTCTCCAGCGATCAGTGGGCAAAGAGAGTAAGCTGGTACTCCCAGGGCCCAAGGAGTGTTCCACCTTTTCTGTGGGATGAAATTATAGACTTAAGTCCAGGGAAGTCGGGATCTGCTTGCACCTTGCGCTTGCTGAGGTCTGATTAGCTGCAGAGCAGAAATACATTTGTCGCCTATTCTGAATGCATGAATATGAGTGCAGTTATTTCGGAAACGGAGGTCTATAGTTCTCATTGAAGAGACTTGGAACGGTGGAGATGCCACCTACCAGCTTATAGGAAAAGTTATATATAAACAGTTGGAAGGGGTAAAGAGTTTGTCAGCCTCAGCCCTCTTGCTCATCAGGAGGGTGCAAAAGGGGAGTCATGTACAGGGGTGGCGCACCTTTGGGGAGGACTGGGGAGAGCAAAGCAGATGCTGGGAGCTTCACTCCATGCAGAAGCTCTCAAGATCTCAAGAATCAACAAGTTCCTGTTTTGGAACAATTATTTAATCAAAGGCAAAACCAACACAGTTCCTGTTCCCCAAAATAAATTAATAAAAAGTGCAGTTTCAATGAGAATGAGACAGCCCTAGACTCGTCATATTCATAGCATCTTTCCAGGGTCTCTGTGAACTTTTGGAACTCAGAGTCAGCGTGCCTTCACGAGACAAAGAGCTGCTTTAACTGCTACTGCAGTATTTTTCAGAGCACAGAAAGGAAGGCTTTAGGGATTTCAAAAGCCCCAGACTCGGCAGAGACTCCACAGTTTAATTTGTGAAGTGAGACAGTTGACAAATTACAAACTCAATTTTACTTTGCGGGCGCTAAAGCCATGAATCTAGTCCCATGTCTCTTGAATTGGTGATGATTAATGAGTTTCAAGCCCTTTAAAATGCGAAGGGCAGTAGTTCAGAAAGTAAAGGCTTCACCTGGCATAGAAAAGAAACAAGACCTTGTTGCATGGTGACATGACCCAAGTTTTATCTGGGTGTGCTAACCAAGCACTCAGGCAGAGGTGGAATTAGGATTACTGTGTTGAATAGGGATGTAAGGATTTGAAATATTCCTCTTCCTGGCAACAGTTCACTGCTGTCATTTTAAAGAAAAGTGGATTCCCCAAGGCATCCTAGAGAGCACTTTTGCATCAAATGTTGCCTGTGTGCATGAAAGTGAGTATCCCTTGGAGCGGTGAGCTGAGCAATGTATCAAGGAATGACAAATAATCGCTTGATATGCAGAGAAATAACTACCAGCATTTTTTTTCCAAAGCCAGCAGGGTTCTGGCTGGGACTGTAGGGCAAGGCAGTCTCCATTTTGACAGATACAATGCATGTGTTAGGCAAGAAAAAGTGGCTTCAGGAGCATCAAGTCCTGGACCTGTGGCTCTCAAGAACTTGAGTCTGAGGAGAATTGAGTATAACCCAATGCAGGGATACAAGCACTCTCTTTTCTCTCTTCTAGCACTGCTAGTCTGCTATTTTGCAGCTGGTCTGTCCCATTTGCTAAGCCAGGAAAGTAACATTTATTTCCTTCTTAGTCATCTTGAAATGAATTCATGTCAGGGGCGAGGCAAGAGGACATTCTCTGCATATGCTCCAGAGCTGTATATTACATTTACTAGATGAAGATGCCTGTGGTTTCCAGTTAAAAGAAAAAAATGAAACATCGAGAAATGGGAAGAGCAGCTGTGGACCTTTTCATGCAACTGCAGAATGAAAAGCTGAGTCCTGGGCCATAGCTGATCCCAACTAGCAACTGCTGAAGACACAAAACAATTTTGCAATGATTTGTTGCATCAGGCATCTTTCAATAAATCAAAAGAGCTTAAATCAGTTGTCTTCTTTTGTTGAGGTGCTGGTTGTTTAGTTCCACATTTTTCATAAGCAGCTCTGTATCCAGCAGAAATTACATGTTGTCATTTACCCTCTCTCTTTCGTCTGGTCTCTGTGGGCAGAGACACCCAGAGATGCATCTAACAGAGAAGGAATTACTGTCCTCCCACATCTCTTCAGCCCCGCAGTGTAGGTGCTGGAATCTGGCGGACACCTCTTGGACTTCAGACTGTAGAGGGATCTCCACACGCTTACTTCCAGTAAAGGGTTCCTGTTGTGCGGGCACACACAAGGGCGCCCAGGTCATGTGCCCCTTGCTGAGGAGACAGAACAAACAAACTGATGCAAATCAGTAAAAAAAACCCCAAACTAAAGATGGTGACCATCTCAATTTACATCTTCTCCTACTTTGTGAAATCTCAGGCTCCTTCTTACTAACCCTCAAGTAAGTAGAAAAATAATTGCAAGAGTCCAATTGTATCTTAAAACAGGAGCAAAAGGCAAGATTTGCACCGTATCTGCATCTTAGTCTTATCTTTTCTATAGGTCTATTTGAAGGAATTATTCTGTACACTACATGCTTGTAGGCAGGATTGCAAACAATTAGAGTTCAGTCCAAAACTCTGTAGTATTAGACAATCCACAAAATCAGTGCTATCATTTAAAAAATGAATTAAAAAAACCAAACCAAATCAAAACAAAACAAAAGAGTATAAACCATTTATTTGTGAGCAAATATCCTATAAAATTGTGGCTTGACTACCATTAAACTGCTACCAAAATAATAGCAAAGAATCTGATAAAATATATTCCTGACAATCTTTCAAGTCCTGCATTAGATTTGGAATGGTTTCAAATATAGAAAAAGGTCCAAACCTCGCCTATAATGAGCTTATTCAGTTTGCATCTTGTACAGCTTTTACAGTTTATAACTGGATAAGTGTTGATGCATAAAGCTGTAATTTGCCAGTGTTGATCACAATTTATATTAAAATAAATAAGCAATTGTACTCAGTTGAATCAAACTAAGCATACAGAATTCATCCTAATTACACTTGATCAGAGGGATTCAAGTAAACAGAGTCACACTATGAAATTTCCAGAAGAAAAGCAATCTAGAAGCAACACTCTCACCACCTTCTCTGAGCAATTTTCTCACGGTATTAGCATTACTCCTATAAACCCATTGGCTGAAATTACAGAATAAGATGCTTAAAGGTAAATAATAAAACTAGTAGGTAAAAAAATGGTTCTTCATCATCGAAGATATAATAAGCTGGATATTCAGCTTTCAGATGTGCCACCAAAGCTGGGATTCTTCATACTTTGATTTTCAAAAGTTCAGCACTAGGCTAGTTGTCTGTTCCCTGCCTGTTCAATGCAGGTTGAGCTTAACTAAGATACTGATTTTAGAAGGATCCACCTATCCAAGACACCTGTTTCTATGCCATGTAAAAAGACAGCTGTCTATTTTTCTTCCCCGGCAGGAGGGCAAGAATATAGAAGGCCATCTAAAACCAGCCAGTGAATTTTTACATGGCTCAAATTATGTGCGATGGATTGAGTTGGATCGGTGAAGTTTTCTAGACGTCTCTATCACAAGGGCAGTTACAGCTCTAAGTGTGTTTATCATTTTGTCCCCTTGGGGTTCAATTAATGTCCCACAAAAACAACGGAACTGCTCTTCCTGTTTTTGATCAGCACAAATAAGTCAAACCATCCTACTGGATACCTATAGCCAGCAGTCGTGTTGTTCAGCCAAGGATTTGAGTTGTAATTTACATGAAATATGAGCATCCAGGTAACATTTCATCCATCCTCTTTAACTTCCCACATGCGAAAGGAAGGCTTGCACTGTGCACACCGGCACATTAGTAAACATCAGAATAAGTTTGTGTATTTGAAGGCTGCTGGTCTCTCCACTTACGAGATGAGGAGTCGGTATATCTCATTGCTGGCGTTAACGATGCCATCACAGTTTTCACACACCAAGCCCACTCTTGCAGGAGTCTTCACAGGGAAGTCAAGAAGAAAAGGGTCTCCAGAAGCACCGAAGCACTTGGTCAGCCCCTCCGATGCAGGGGCACCGTGGTTCAGAGCTGGAGAGGGGACAGGGCGGCAGGCAGAGGAGCCAGAGCTTCAGCATCTTCACCGCCACATGTATCAGGCAGCTGATATTCCCAGGGGAGCACCCAGGAGAGCACAGAGCGGTCATAACCTCTCTTTGGTTTGTGCAGCCGGACGTGTTTCTGGGAGGAAAAGAAAAACACCCAGTGTTGAGGTTTAGCTGGAGGAAATATTTGTTCTTACGAACTCAGTGGAATAAGAACTGCACACATCATGTTTGTTTGAGAGACACACACGCTGAGCCAGCAGCTCAGCAACCGAGCGGGGGGTAACAATTACCCATTATCTTTTTAATTTGGAATGGACTTTAATGTCGGTGTTGTCTTTGTTTATTTTATGACCCTGCATTAGAGGCGTTATTATTGCCACTCCCATGGAAAAAGCTATGAATGAGGTAGCACCTCTCCAAGAAAAAGAAATTATCTCAGTCTTAAGATGATCTCTTTTCTTGGGTGGGGAAAAGGGCTAGAATCTGTTTTTTTTCTGATGCATGCTGAGAAATGCTTAAGAAATATCACCTAATTTTCAGGGCAGAAAGGGGGAACACTCAATGCCTGCCACTGATAATCTGTTAGCCTGTGTCCTTGAAAAATTATATACTACAAGGAGAAAACATGTAGTATTGAAGTGTGGCTCCCTTCTGTCTCAAAGCATCAGGAATAAGTGATTTTAATGGATGATTAAAAACTTTCCCCCCCACTATTATTGCACTGTTAGGGAGCTGCCATCAGCAGTGACCTACTTGATGTCACGGCAGAAACGTGTGTTTCAGATGCTGGCCTAAATGCAGATGATTGTTGCTTGGTGCTCATCTATGCACAGTGTGATACACTTAGCAAATAAACAGCATCTGCCAGAGGGCCTCTCTTGCCTTGCAGCTAGGTTTAGTTGGGTTCCCTTTCCTCATCCATACAGTGGTGCGGGTACAGCCCTCACAGATGACAGGCACATGAGTGCTGCTTACAGAGAAAGTGTGGGTACCCTTAGTATCCTTAATAAATACATGAAGTGCTGTTAGTGCTGGGCTGGGATATGCATTTTCTTTGTAAGGGGCTGTCAACCACGAGCCTCTGAAACTGTGCCGGGATACAGAGAACCAAGAGATCTATTTTAAAATGTTATGCTCATTTTCTTCACTGTCTAGGGGGCTCTTGAGTCACGTCTTCAAGCTTCACTGTGCAGCCGTGAAGAACTGTTTCTTTCCAAATGATGGATTTGGCAGAGGTGCTGGCAGTGAGGACTGAGCGAGGTGGTCAGTCCTGTACTTCTTGGACCCAGGGTTTTACTAGGGACCAACAGCTATCATAAATTAACATTGCAGGCATTGGCAACACTACTGATGAGAAGAGTCTTTCCTCAACGAACCTTGCTGTGCTATTAAAGGCACCATTTTGAACATGAAAGGCTCAAACGTGGAGAAGGAAATGTTTCAGCTCATCCGGGAGGAGAAGTCCAGTTATTTTTTGATGCTGCTTGTGTCCAAAGCACCTCCTGATGCACAGGCGGCACAACTGCATCAAGGACAGCGGCCCTGGAGAAAGAGCCGGGGAAGAGGTTATACATGTGGCTTTACTGCCCCAAAACTGTAAAGCTGAAATGGCAGCTGTGCATTACCACTCCCCCCAGCTCCTGCGACCCACCTCACACAAGGGGTGTGCAGCCAACCCAGGGCCCTCAGCAGTGAAAAGCCAGACCTGTGCCCACTAAAGGACATCAGCCTGCCTGAGATTCAATTCAAGCCTAGTTGCTCTCTACCATTACACAGCCGCAATTAGCCTTAGCAGCATCAGTCTTTCCCTTTTAAGCTGCATGAGTGTGCAGTGGTTTGTGTTGTTTGAGAAGAAGTCCTTTCCCCCTCCCTGGACCCCCAGATCCAAGTTACAGCCCACTGCTTTCTCGAGACATATTTCATAATAGTGACAAACACATAGCAAAAAAAATACTATATAGTCCTTTATTTAAACTTTCCAGATTAACCGGTCCCATGCTGATAAATACAAGCCCTGTTGAAGAATCTGTGGTGCTTTTTTTTTATTTAAGTGTAATGGCATTATACATTTACTTGGAGGGATTACCCCTTTCACAAAGAGGTAGATCCCGTGTGATGCTTTGAACTGCGGCACCTTTCAACCTTTAGCCCCCCCCAAGATGTCATTTGTGCCCCAGCATGCAGCACGCAGGGGTGGCGAGCGCGGTGGGTCACGGTGGGGCTATGGGAGGGCAGATAAGAAGGGCAAAGCAGGGGCAGCAGGGACCATGGGGGTGGAGGGCTGGGAGTGGGAAGGAGATAAGAAGAGGCACTGTAGAAAGCGAGAGGGAGGTAAGTGGGCTGGGAGGGGACAGCTTAGGTGCCACCAGCCCTGCCTGCCTGCTGGGTGGGTAAGTTAGCAGCCACCAGAGAGCCGAAATGTCAGTGCTGGTGGAGGAGTTGAGTGCAGCAGGAAGGAATGGGGGCTGCAGCAAAAATGCAGTGGGGTGGCAGCTTTAATCAGCTTTTGAGCCTTCCTTGCGCAGGCCACCACGCTTCCAGCAGCTCTGCAAGGCTGCAAACTGCTGCACGATTTGAAGGGCTGCGCAGGGGGCTGAACCCCCTGCCAGGAATCAGCGGATGATTTGTACCTCATGCCTGGGTACAAAGCAACAAGGGAAGCTGATACGGGGCAAGTGAGACTGGCTATTGCAGTATCCCACTGCACTTGTGTTTGGCCACTCTGATCTCACAGGTAAATGACCTGCCTGTAAACATCTCATTTTAAAAAGCTTCTATTCAAGGGAAAAAAAAAAAACAAACAAACCAACAAAAACTCAAAAACTAAAGTTATATCAAAACACAAGGTGTGTCACTGTGCTGAAAAATATTTAGCAACTGCAAGCATGCTCTTAAAAAAAAAATGCATTTTTCGATCATTAGCTAATTTTCCCACCCATGTGCAGGACTCTCCCTGCAAGGCAAACAGGGTAGGCGGTGGTCCGGCAGCATGGTGAAGTCCTGGGAAGGGAGACCATCACATGTACTACACTTGCTCTGGGGTAGCCCTAGGGTGCCCCTGGGTTGGCACACTCACCAGCTCATCTCCAGTGGAAAAACACGCTCCCTCCAGCCCACCCTGGCCATGGGTGTGGGGCTACTGCGCCCCAGCATCTGCAGCGTGGGGGGAGAGGAGCCATGTGTGGGAGCAGGGCAGGAGAGCAGCAGCTCAGCTGTGCTGGTGCTGAGGCGCCGTGGGGCTGGTGGAGTGACTCTGATCCCTGCAGTGCATGGCCAGACCTCCCCATGAAACCAGAGGGGTAATGTTCGCACCGCTCCCCCAGGTTGCAACCATTGAGCCAGCCAAAGAAGTCAGACATCAGCTGCCCGTCAGGCATGACCCTACTCAGAGAAGGGCATGCTGGAGAACAGCAGAAAAAAACCTATCCAGCAGCAAAATGCCATTTAAACATTTATAATTTCTGATTTCGATTGCTGAATTTTGCTTAGAAAAGTTCCTTAATGCCCAAGCTGTCAGCAAAGCCCAGGCAGCACTTCTTGGGGCGGCTCCACAGGGTGTGCCTGAAATAGTTTTCTATCTCAAATAAACAGGACACACGTGGTGCCAGGGGCGTCAGGAGTCTAATGCAGCAGGGATTGGAGCTCGAAAAGATCGCTGCTCTGTGCACCATAGATTAGGCTGGGAAACCACATATCCATTGCTCATACATAACGTGCACAGCACAGTTGGTTTCACACTATTATTTTTGTGTTACTATTTCAAGTAGGGCCTGATTCATCGCTTTTTTATTCCAGTTTTACCTTGATGTAAATCTGCTCATGACAGCAATCATATCAACATGTAACTGGAATAATGAAGTCATGGACCACACCAGCAGCAGCAGCTTGTTTAAAATAGTTAAAATTATTTATTTAAGTGCCTAGTTTTCAGACTGAATGAAAACATCTAAAGAAGAATATAAGTACGCCAATGATTAGATATGAGAGACCTTATTCTAATTTTCCTGAAGGTTGGTAAGTAAGATTTCTCTCCATAATTCATTAAAGTATTCATAACCAATAAAATAAAATGGATCTGCAAATATTTCATTTACAGGTACGAAATAAGCAGGTCCTAAAGGCTAAGCCTGCAGTTTGATACTGCTGGATTACTCAGCACATAATGTTGGCGTTTAAAAAATGTTTAAAATAGTTAAAATTATTTATTTAAGTGCCTAGTTTTCAGACTGAATGAAAACATCTAAAGAAGAATATAAGTACGCCAATGATTAGATATGAGAGACCTTATTCTAATTTTCCTGAAGGTTGGTAAGTAAGATTTCTCTCCATAATTCATTAAAGTATTCATAACCAATAAAATAAAATGGATCTGCAAATATTTCATTTACAGGTACGAAATAAGCAGGTCCTAAAGGCTAAGCCTGCAGTTTGATACTGCTGGATTACTCAGCACATAATGTTGGCGTTTAAAAAAAGCCTAGCTTATAAATGTATATACATGTTCATTATATTATTCTTGTGCAATTTTTCTTAATGCCCACAAAAAACCTGATATAGAATCTTTCATTTTAACTTTTGCACCTATGTAAGATCTTGGCCAAACAATAAAAGGAAAGGGCAAAGAACTAGAAGATCAGTGTTTCAATCTACGGGGTTTTTTTTTTCAGTAGCACATACAATAAAAATTTTCTGGTTGCAATTTTCCATTTATGCTGAGACCAGTATCTTGCATGTACCTGACCGTCAGCATACTGTGTAACCAAAGATCCCAGTCCTAGCGCTCATCAGCTATCCTCAACTCCCATCAGAGGTGATTTTCTGCCTGCGTTTGTCAGCACCCTCCGATGACATTCCTGGGTCTGCTCCCTTCTCAGAAACAAGGGAACTGAGAGACTCCCACTGACTTCAGTGCTTTAGGTTATCAGAAAAAGCCAACATTAATCTCTAAGGAGTGTTTTGCTTGGTTTTTTACCCTAAACTCTATTTTGCATTATATTGCAAGCTCCATACGATTGCTCCCCAATGCAGTAGACTCACAACCTGGAGGTTGAAAGATGGGTTATTGTTATTATCATTATCCCTATTAGTGCACCACTATATTCTGACATTAGAAAACATAGTGTCCATATGTCAACAAATGGAGGTAAGCTTAGTTATCCTCAGTTCTGTAGCCCTTGTAGCATGGAATAGCATAGCCTTTTGCAGCAGTTTATGTGTTTTTTCCCTAATGAATCCCGAATGAACAAATAAAACAAACGCTAAGGGGCACCTTCTTTCTGCAGGAAGAGTCGGCCCACAGGGCTGTCAGGTGGAACCAGCTCCATCGGCCTCTTGCTTTCAGCATTCTTCACCCAAATGTCTGCTCCAAAGTCAATCAGCAGCGTCACCAGCTCTGCACTGCAATTCCTGGCAGCCGCATGTAAAGGGGAGTCCAGGCCCTTGCCGCTGTTCACATTTGCTCCTGAACACCAAGAGATGTCAAAGAATAATGACTAAAGAGTAGCCTATTTCCATTTCCTGCAGTAGCTGCTATTTCTCTGAATAATCTGTAAATGCTATAGCATCTACCCAGAGGTGGATTTCCTTACGCTGGGGCTTGGTACTACAGTTTGCACATGCACAACTCACACTGGTTGAGGAGGAGTGGGATTGTGACTAAAATGATCTCAGAGGAATGGTGCATGAGGAAGTCCTTCGTCCACAGCCCAGCCCATGGATATCTTGAAGCAGGACAAAGATGTAGTTCCACCTACGGCCCACCTTTGCTCCCCGTCCCCTTAAAATACATAAAGGGTTTCAACCTGCTCTGTATTGGAGGTTTAAGCCAGTGTGGTTTCCAAATACCAAAGTATCTGTTGGGGAAAAAAATGTGAGGATGGAAAAGTTCTAGAGGCCCTTGGTAGGGGAGGATATATGCAAGCACCCCTGATGAGTGTTCTCCCATCCGTTATCCCAGACTAATAGCTCCTAAAACACCCTAAGAAGGATGAGCTGCAGAACTAATTCAAAACTATTTATAATGTTTTTATAATACACATTTTCATATATAGAAAGCAACAAAAAACAAAATGGCAGAAAACAAAAATAATAGTCAATCATTTACTGTTTAGATTAATTTGTATTTGACTTCTTCCAAAAAAAGGATCACTGTGCTAAATAGTGCATAAGATCATCTACATGATGTTTGCTTGTTTTTTCCAAAGAGGCTTTGTTGGTCCATTGATTTTGTACTAGCTATGTGGCTGCTTTAGATTATACGGCCCCTTTGGTTAGAAGAGATGCACTACTGTAGATAAGAAGAAATGGTCTTGTATAATTACCCAAGTGCTTAGAGATATAGCTAGGTTTGTTTGATGTGAAGTATATAGTGCTGAACGTTTTTCTGTGTTGGAAGTGTTTCAAACTTTTTACAAACTCAGTGGGAATTAAAATACTACCTAAAAATTATTGAGTCAATTGTTTTGGGTAAAGAGGGGGGAAGAGAAAAAAAAGGAAATTTTTTTCTGCCCACTTCAAATAACTGCAGCATCACACAGACAGACATTGGCAAGGATGTTTGTTCCAGGCACCACCAGCCATATGAGATCTAGGATCACCCATCTTTTTATTGGGAGCTGTAAAGCTGAGTTCCTGGGTCAAGAAAACCCTGGTTACCCTGCTAAACCATTTAACCCAGGGCTGCTATTAAGAGCGAAACATCTCCAGGTCCCAGAGCAGGAGCTCCTCTAAATCTTTGATGCAAAGGGAATCTGAAGATAGATGTTGCAGGAAATGAAAGTATACCATCCTTTCTTTTTCTTTTTACCTGACTCAAGCAGCTTCTTGGCACAGTTCACTTGCTGGTTCTCACAAGCTACATAAAGCGGAGTACCCAGATGGTCAATGTTGTGATCTATATTCACCCCATGGGCTGCGAGGAATTCGACACATTGCACATGACCTTAAACGAGATAAAGGAAGAGTCAACTCACAGAGATCAGGCATTTTTTTCAGCAAATTCTCTATTGCAGCGGTGTAATTTGGCAAAGGTTTGATGTTTTGTCAAGAGATCGTAGTGTAATACTTACATCTACTCCAGTGTTTCCAACCTGGAAAACCGGAGCTGCAAAGCCACTGTTAGCAAAACAGGCTAAAGCCCTCACATTTTATCTGGCTCATTTCAGATGTCTACCAAAGATGAGATGAATCATGCTGTGTTTCTCTCCACTGTTTTGGAAGATAGCCAGACGGGTCCCTCAGACATCCACATGGTAGGCAATTGGCTTGGACAGAGCAACCCCTTCCAGGTGCCACCACATGAACTCAAAGGTCCCGAGAGCCTAGCCCAGCTGCCCTCGGTGAGCACCAGGGGTGGGAGGAACTGCACCGCTCGTGATGAGACCAGATAGGAAAGTATTCCATATGACCCAAATCAAGAAAATCGTCATCTTTATCTCTCTTTTCCACTTCAACATGTTGCTAGTTACATGGAAACGGTTGCTGATGCCCATGGGGTTACCTCTCTTAGCAGCTTCATGGATGGGGGATGCCAGGTCACAGGGCGGATGTAGGCTGGCTCCGTGCTGTAGCAATAAATTCAAGCAAGCCACACTGCCACTGACACAAGCGCTGAACAACGGAGTGTGCCAGTCAACAGTAACTCCATTCACCTGGGGGAATAAAAAAAGCCACAATCAGGCTTTTTGTTCATCTTCTCAGTGTTTCAAAATAGATTAAAATTATCCAGTTTCTCAACAGAAAATAGGGTTCTCAATACTTTTTATTTAATTCCTTGCAAAAACTGCCTACTGATGATTACAAGTTTTTCATAAAAAGATCATTAAAAAACCTTTTTTAAAATTGCCCCCAAGTCTCTCCTCCTGCAAATTAATGTCTAACCAGTGCTGCTCTGGGGTCTCTCAGGAGTTACCAAGTTACTGAGTTAAACGTGTTCCCATTTCTCAGCTCTCTCAGCTGAAACACACCTGCCTGTTGCCCTGTCCTGAAATGTTCCATTTTTAGCAGAAAATGTGCAGCCCCCCCTTTTTAAAAAAAGACTGAAACTGAAAGGTAGTGTATGTACGATGAGTTAATTTTCTTATTCACTGTAGTTTCAGAAACACACCTGCCTGTTGCCCTGTCCTGAAATGGTCCATTTTTAGCGGAAAATGTGCAGCCCCCCCTTTTTAAAAGAAAGAATGAAACTGAAAGGTAGTATATGTATGATGAGTTAATTTTCTTATTCACTGTAGTTTCGGCATTAGCTCTAAAAGCAGAGGCCATGAGACATACCCATTTCACCATCATACTTGCATGTTGTTTCCATTTTCTTCCCCTTTTATTGTCAGCTCATCAGTCCTACACCTCTACTTAAGACTCTGTATATTGACACCAATGGGGTTAGCGTGTGTGGAAAATAAAATGCACCTTTAATTGTTGCCGGATTATAAACCCTTTGCAAGTGGAACTTCCCTCTATTCTTTCAGTAAATGATGGGAACGTTGCACCTTCATCTAAAGAACATATTAACTGTTGTTTATATCTGTGCTTTTGGGATTGCTTTATCAAGAAGTGCATTTTTTAACATATGCACTTTAAGCTGGGCTAACTACAGAGTATACAACACAGTGAAACACTGTCATGAAATACTACATCACCTGACACTAAAAAGTCATGATACAATGTCCTACCACTGGAGACAGTGGTCTGTCCATCATGCACTCACCTGAGCACCGTGTTTTAACAGGACACTGGCACAAGCAGCATGACCCCCTAGGCAGGCTTCGTGGAGAGGAGACACCTGGTCTGCAGTAACGAGATTCACATCACTCCCCTGATGAATTAATAGAAAATACCATTACAACCAACCACCAAAACCCCCATACAAACAGAAAAAAACCTCCAACCCTTTCTATAATGACCTTTAAAGCTTTAGATAATCACATGTCCCTCCACCGCCTGGAGTTGCTCA